TTTCTACTAGTATGTTAACCGAAGGAAACATATTGTTTTTGCTCCGTTTCTTCCTCTTCTTCTTCTCCAAACAGTGACCTATTATATGACCAATGACATGATTTGTTGACGTCTGTCACCATAGTGACTGGTGTTGGGTTACATAATGTTGCAATTTCATGGTCTGCTCTGCTCCTGTCACCATATACTAATAGTACAATATCTTTGAATGTGTTTGAGTAAGAATTAACAGAGTAGACCATGTCCGAAGGTAAACATTATGCATTTGCTTTGCAAATGTTACTTCTCTAGTTTGGTCTTTTTTTTTGTGACGAGTGTAAGTGTGTCAAAGCTAACTAGGCGGCGTTTTGAGCTTACTGGTCTTGTCCCACCAACAGGAATTCGGCCATACAAGTGCGAGGAGTGCGGGAAGGGCTTCACTCAGAGGTGTTCCCTGGAGTCTCACTACAAGAAGGTGCACGGGTTCACCCTCAGCTACGGCTACAAGGAACGGAGGGAGAAGGTACGTGTTCTTCGGCACTTGTTAGGCTATCTGTACTCTCTCTCTCTCTCTCTCTCTCTCTCTCTCTCTATCTCTCTCTCTCTATCCCTATCTATCTATCTGTCTCTATATCTATCTCTCTATATCTATCTCTGTCTCTATCTCTCATCTCTCTCTATCTATCCATCTATCCATCCATCTATCCATCTATCCACCCATTCATTCATTCATCCATTCATTCATCTGTTCTTCTCTTTCTCTTCAGTCATTCAGCTTTTCCTTTCCTCTCTTTCCCTTTCCACCTTTCAATCTGTAAACCATTATTTTTCTCAACCTCTGCAAAATCCCACAACAAATGATAACAAGACAACGTTTTCCCCAGATCTATGTGTGTGAGGAGTGCGGTCACGCGACCATGAGTCCGGAAGAGCACCTGGAGCACCTGAAACAGGTGCACCCGGACAACCCTGCCCTCAACAAGAGCTTCGAACGGAAACACCTGCTGAAGAAACAAACGGAAGAAACGAAGGGAGAAGGTACGTCAACTCCAGACCACATGGAGACAGACAGTGACGACAGCACGGGGGATAAAAAAGAAGAGGATAATAAAAGAAAGGACAATGGAAAACAGAAACTACCAGCGGCGAAGAGGATACGAGCAGAGACAGCCGCGTGATGACTTACTAGACCAGTGACATTACTTCAAAATTTACATGGAACATTCAACAACTCATGTACACTACCATCAATATGCAGTACTCATAAACTTCTTTTATGTATAGAATGGCGTAGACACCACTATATATTTTCTGACCATGCAGGGAAACTAGTGTATTTAAACTTAACTTTGTCAACAAAGCACAATGGAAGATACTAACCAAACCAAATTTATGAAAACCAAGTTATATTTACAATCAAACCAGCGAGGGAAGTGAAAGAACATCCCCTAAAATTTGCCATAATAGTTAATTTGTTTTATTATTTGCGGAATCACTCCGGGGCTTTGTTTTCACTATCAACAGCACAATGCATGCTGGGGACTTTGCCAGGTCAAAGGGTATTTGGGCAGTGCATTGTGGGAATAATTGGCTGCTACCACGAAACTACTAGGGATTCTTGGCTGTGTAGGGTTTGAGGAGATTCTATTTTTCTTACGTAAGTTGTAGTTAGGTATGTAAGGATTCTAAGATATATATTCTTGAGAGGGGATGTTAACCAGAGAACTTCTTGCACGACATTTGAAACAACCTTCAAGGATTCTAAACTCCTTACAGGTAATGTGATGATAGAAATGTATCGCCTGGGTAAACGTGTTTGACATACCTGTATTTCTGAAACCATTATGAAAAGATTAAGTGACGCAAATTTGAAAGGCGAGATATTACATGTATGTGTACAGCTAGCTGTAAGATTGCATCCACCAGTTTCCCATCCCCAGAATGCAACGCGAAAACGCGGGGGTAACCCTCATTTGTATAGGGCTGGAAGGCATCGAAATGATTAACATTGATTGCTCAACATTAATTAGATTAATATGGGCAGAATCTGACAACAAATAGAGAATGAAGTTTTAGTGTTCTTTTCAACATGGAACATGTGGTTTGTAATGAAAATGTAACAGCATCAGTATGTCGTTACCACTATAACGTTCTCTTTTTATTGTCAGATTCAACCCATAGTAATTTAATTAACCTTGAGTATAAAATGAAACCGACACCTCAAAACACACTGAAAAACAAGTTGTTTAACGTCACCAGGATCATTCCGATGCCTGCCTGCCCTATGCAAATGAGGGTTACCCCTGCGTTTTCGCGTTGCATTCTGGGGATGGGAAACTGGTTGATATCAAGGCTTCAACATAACCCGAACTATGCAGGACGTATATATCTAGATGTGTCAAACTGGGGCGGTAGATTTTCATGGTTTGCTATAGAATGTGCAATATCCTCCGGGTACGGAATTCTAGCTACCGCTGCTATGCACTTCTCGTTGTACATAATGGTGGGTACGGCCATGTTTTGCATAAATTAGCATATATTTATCTATATTTGGACGTGATGAACCGTGGTGCAATATTTCGTGAAGATGGTTAGGGAGAATTGATATGGTTTTCGCTGTGGGATAACTTCGGTGCCAATAAAGAGAGCTTAGATTTAAATTCGTGTAGCCTGTGTTCGTACTTACACCAACAATACCACATACATACACATCAAATAATAATAAGAACAGATTGCAATCAGATGCTGCAACAAGAAAGAAATAGAACACAGTTAATTCAACGATGTAGCAAACACACGAGTATAAATTTGTAGGCATTTGGGTTTTTCTTACACACAACCAGTGCATATCCCACCTTACACATGTGCAATGGTGAGAGAAATACTAGTTGTGTATGAGAAAATCCCAATATCATATATGTTCCACCAACCTGATGAAATTGTTTTCGGCAGCTCAGCAAATCTTACAAGTTGTGTGACATATCTTTCCTACGGAAAAGTTAACTTGAAGCTTGAACTCAAGACTGTCCTCAATATTTAAAAGCAGACCGAAGTTTATAATAGTGAATAAAGATGGTTACATAGAATTTGATCTAGTTCTCCATAAATGGCTATATGACGTCATGGTTTCCTAGCGACAAAATCAACACAGCTATCGTTTAAGAACGTCTAAACAGACATGACCTGATCACACAAGACCATGGCCAACAGCTTATATATTAAGAATCTTACTTTCATAATCAATGTAAAACATGACTAAAAAGTCGTAAAACATTTGGCGAAGCTATGAGGTCGTGACTTTTCATGTGCTTGACGCTATTTCTCTGTCTTCTTTCTTTCTATCATGAAAGTTCATCTGTGTTGGTAGTAATCATAGTAAAAGGTTGAACTTTATTCCAACACACAATATGTACAGGGATCAAATTTTCAGCGATTATTTAATTTAATTAAATAATTATCCTGATGAAGGCGACAGTGGTCGCTAAAAATTTGATCCCTGTACATATTGTGTGTTGGAATAAAGTTCAACATTTTACTATCTTTCTTTCTGTTACAAGTCGCAGTCGTTGAGACATGTTTGTTGTACTTAGAATTTGCCAAGTGTTATGACTATTACTTTTCCTTTGTTCAAAGCTTAGGCCACAGCAAGTAATTTTTATGGATGACATCAGCGCGCGCATTAATTTTCGCCTGATTGTGGAAAAAAAAACAAGAAATTTCGTTGCCTTCTGACAGTGGTCACCATGCCGAAAATGGGCAAAGATGTCTGTTGCCATGCCGGAAGGTGGATGGCAGATAAATATGAAGAAGGAGACAAGACAAGACTCAGAAGATTTAATGTTTTGTTTCTTACTTTGAAGCAGTGACATGTGATGCTGGCTGTGTATATATGATGTTCCCACTGAATCAAAACCATTTGTACAATGATTGAGTCACAGTTTTCAATTGTAGAAACCTTGTTTTTTCGGCCTGGCTCGTTTTTTTTCGCCCACTCGCATTAGATTTGGTATCTGCGGAGGATGTCATCCATAAAATTTACTTGCTGTGGCCTTATTAGGGCCTATACCGGCTGAGACCACTGGACATCGTAAAATACCAGTCAGCGGCAAGGGTCAAGGGTCACGAATCGAACATGGCGTCATTGAGGTAATTGAGAATAATTACCTTCGGCAAGAAGGTTATGTTTTCAGTAGCGTTTGTTTGTCTGTTTGTCTGTTTGTGAACAGCATAACTCATAAAGCTTAGTATGCATTGTCATGAAACTTGGTAGGTGGGTAGGTCTTGATGAGACCTAGAAATGATTAGATTTTGGGCCCCCTGGCGGCTTTTGTTGGTACTGCAGCAGAACTTCCGGTTTTTGATATCTCGCGATATGGACATGCTAGGGTCACGAATTTTGGTTGGTAGATAGCTCTTGAGGTAGGGAAAAAGCGACATGAGTTTGGGCCCCCTAGCGCCTTGTTCTGGAATTGCAGGAGCATTTGTTGAAAAATTTTCGAAGGATGATAACTCAAGAACCGGTTGACGGATTGTCGTGATTTTTGGTATGTAGGTAGCTGAAGTGAAGCTTGACATAATCAAATAGAAATTATGCAAATCAGGAGCTAATTTGCATAGTTAATGAGGAAATTCTATAAATCTGCTTTGTTCGATAATAGGACTATGAAACACTTGCGGCATGTAATTGAGAATAAAAACATCTGAGGATATAGATTATGTAAATGAAGACCTAATTTGCATAATTAATGGAAATATTTTATAATTTCATAGTTGTAACTGCTGGGAATTTCATTCTTGCCACATTTGGAAGTCAAGTGAAGGCGAACACCAATAAACATAATTTATTCAAATCATGACCTCAGTTGCATAATTTATGAGGAAGTGCTATAATAGCTTTTTTGTTAAGATAAGACTGTCATTGGGTGGAGAATATGATCAACTGATATAACCCATGCAAATGAGGCTCTTATTTGCAAAATTAATGATTAAAATTGTACAATTCTTCAACCACAAGGGTTAACATCAATTGGTGAAGGTATGAGATCGTGGAACTCTTTTTTTTAAACAAACAGGGCAGTCAGATCTAGAGATGGCAAACTTGGATTACCGTTTCCCACATTTCTCTTTTACCCATCACAATGCTTGCAGCCCTAAAACCCCAAAAAGTTCAGCACAATATATATGGGAACGTAGCACTGTGTGTATCATGGGGATTGTAGACACACACGCACACACACACACAAACACACACACACACACACACACACACACACACACACACACACACACACACACACACACACACACACACACTCTCTGTCTCTGTCTCTCTCAGACTCTGTCTCTGTCTCTCAGACTCTGCAGCTGTCTCTGTCTCTCTGTCTCTCTGTCTCTCTGTCTCTCTCTCTTTCTCTCTCTCTCCCTAAGTCTGTGTAGCAGTAGTTGAACAGGCGATTCTATTATTAAAGTGGCGGTACTTCAAAGCCTTCCTCACTACCTCACAGAGCAACATGAAAGCTACCAAAAAATGTCACATTGGAATAGCAAACATCGTCAGCTTCTTTTTTTCATCAAACAATTTCCACTCACTTTATTAGTCTGTGCCTCCGCTCAAAGCTGTTGTTTACTTGAATTTTCAACATGGCAGTGTGGATTCAGATTGTACTCAGCTCCGTCATTGTAAACAAACGGTGTTCGGTGCAAAATCTGTTCTGTTTGTATTATGATGTTTTCGCAAAGAGGTTAAAATCACTCCTTGGCTTTCGGTGGTGCAGAAATTCGAAAATGTACTGTTTTCTTTTCGAAATATGGGCACTGGGCAGAACATATAGCTCCTATATATGATATTTTTTAAAAATCGTTTTCTTTTTATGTATGACTGCTGAAAAATAATAGCCTGGGTTCCATCCTGGTGAGTTTACGTCCGCTCCCAGAGTCGCTACCACCGAGACTGTGGGAGCGGACGTAAACCTAACCAGGATGGAACTCAAGCTAGAAAAATAAGGGGTGCCTGTTCAATATTATGTCCTTTGACTCCTATTATCTCCTACATCTCACTCATAGAAGATCATTATTTTCTCCAAACAGCGGGATTTGCAATTTCATTTGTGCATTCACTCACCATACGTTCAAACTTAGGATCCAGAATGCCACAAAACAGCCCAACGCTGAGTGTTTACAACACTTAGACAATTTATTAGAACTCTCCAAACTCAATCAAAACCTTCTAGTCGCCTATGTCTGGTGGTGCAAATTTGAGCTACTAACCAAAACCAACATCATGTAACCATTCCGAGCCTAACATCTACCATCATATTTTTTCATAAGTAATAATTAATATACAGTAAATCTTGTAAATATATCACTCCTGTTCTGCTAATATTGCACTATCACTGATGAGTGACAGTCGAAGACTGCAAGTCTTTACAATATTGTATTATTCAACATCAAATTTTAAAGTCATTCATTTCTGCAATTACATGTCAGAAATACACAGTACTAATGATATTCACTTGTTTTATGACGTTTTTTCACTACATATGAACCATGTATCGCCGCTTGGTTCTGTAGGCATACATGCAAGATAATAGGACATATGATACAGTCATTCACAATGTATTGACTGGTGTGTTACGCCGAAGGGCGGTTATACCTGCTATACGAATACAGATACAGAATGTCATGAAATCATAAAAGCTAGCATTCTAAGACAACGGTGCAAAGTAACCGAAGTACATCAAATAACACATAAGATGGTGGGGCACATGAAACAAGCAAATGAAATACTTGTATAACGAATGGTGGAAAAGATGCGCCAGGAAATCATGGAAAATACATCATTTTGTCTGAAAAATGCTAACAGCAACATAAACAGTTATTGTGTGAACCATATTCATGGTCACAGAAGTGTTATAGCATTAAGAAGAGGGATCCATAAGGCTGCACCAGTACATGAAAGGTGTATAAATTGTAGATGGTATTTCGGCAGTTGTAGCCCCTCTGTGCTCTGACTCGTGTATTGTGAGAGTAACCCTCTCTTCTTATAGCAGGGCTCTCCCAAGCAATGGAGAAATGGTGCTCCCCCTCTCCCCAAAATCCTAGAAACTCTCCCAAAATGTTCACATTTTTCTCTTAGCATTTACAGGAACATTCGCTGATTTTTCATCAACCGATTAGGGAGCACCTCTCCCCTCAGAATTTATGGGGAGACCAATGTTATAGGTGTGTGAACACAGCACAGGATGTGGGGAGGGCCCGACTACTGTATGCCATTCAGGGCCTTGAAAAAATCACAAGCGCTGCCTAATCAATGTTGCTAAGTGGATTCTCTACCGGTACCACTAGAATAAATTCGCGTGGGCCAGTACGGTATAGATGTACGTAGAAGTACCACAATGACTGTGGTCCCGGTATAGTTTGTGCAGTATGGTTCAGTTGGTGTGTTAGTAATGATCGTACCCTGTGGTCCAGTCTAGTTTGTGCAGTGTGGTTTCAGTGTAAATAATGGTCACACCCCAGGAGCCCTGTTTGGTAGTCGCTGAAGTTTATCTCTGCAGCCCTAATGCTAACTTGATCCCAGATAGACAGTAGTGTTGTAAAAGTAGACTGGAGGAGGAACAGTGATGTGACAGTTAACTGAACAGTTCATGATTCTTGCACATG